CATGTTACAGACATAGCTCATTTGTTTGAAATGCATCTGTTAAAGTATAATATAACCCCATATAAAAGCAAAATCCAAAACTAAAAATCTAACACTTCATTCCCCTCAACCCACGCCCCCCAAAAATTTGCTTAACGTAATACAATGTTACACAATAAGAACAATAACAGCATAACTAATGTAATAAAAAATAAATTTCTTCTTAATAAGGACTTTATTTGAAAGTGTGCTGATTTTAAAGCTCCAACATTATACGCCTCAAAGAAATACTTCAATGGATTATTCACCCAAAAATGAAAATGCTGGTATCATTTACTCACCCTCAAGTTGTTCCAAACCTGTATAAATTTCTTTGTTCTGCTGAACACAAAGGAAGGTATTTTGAAGGATGTTTGAGGCCAGACAGCTTTGGGGTTCATTGACGATCCTGATGTCCCCTGGTCTATCATGCACTGTTAAAAATTTCCTGTAGAAATTACAGTAACTTACTGGCAGCAGCATTGTCTCCTCAGTGCATCCTGGGATGAGGGCTTCATCTGCAGCCTGGATAATGCACAGTTAAAAAATGAGATTCAGTACTACTCTGGAAATATCAAACTTAATTTCAATAATTTAGTAACGTCTGTATCCTGAGAAATGTAAACTTGAATATAATAAGAACCAGTCATGGTCAACAAAGACTGATTACAGATAACTGTTAGACCTCAGTTCTAGGATTGCGAATGGTAGGCCAAGAAATTCAATAGTGTCTTCCTACAACAAACTGTAAAATTATATTGCACACTTTGAATACGTACATGGATAATGGCAGAAATGTCCAAAGTGTGGATGTTTCGGTAACTCCAATCTAACTGCAACTGCTACTGTGCACCCTTAATACACTGACACATTCAATGGACAGGGAGGGAGAAAAATAATAGATTAATATTAACATTTGCAACATCGACAAACAAAGATTTTAAAAGTAGCAAACGTGATTTAAACAGATCAACTAAACATACAGATTACAGTATAGTTTCATAAATACCATTAATGTAGAGGCTTTGGACTGACAGTGAAGTGGATATCAATAAGTACACTTGTCTGGTGAAATATCAGATATCTGTAATTAAGACTATTCGATTATGCTCATCAAATGATATTAAGACGCATATCATTCAAAGCAGTCATCAGAGATGTACACATGTGAATGCAACCTCTTAAAACAAAAGTAAAAGTTTTTAATAATACTCGCCACTACTAAACAGCATAAAAAAAAAAAAAACAGTCCAGAAGAATAAGGGTCTTCACAGGACAGGACAAACCAGACATCTAAACAGAACGCATATTAAATGTAAATTTTCTTTAAAACAACATGCATTGTACTGGATTTTTAATAATAAAACTGATTATTGGTTATGATTATTGATTATGCTCATTGGTTTAAGCAATAGTTCTCTTTCAAAATGTTTGATTTTTCAAAAGCCTGATATCATGTTTTTATGTGTATAAATTTTGTGTGAATATACTCTCTGAATTATGTGATTGTTGTCATATTACTAAAAAGTACATTAAAATACATCTGTAAAAAAATCTTATTCATTATAAGTTGTCATAAAAAGCAACATAACTTAACATCCAGTTCATTAGGAACACAGCATGAGTGTGAGTCATGCGATATCCATCTTTGAACTCGCATGTGTCTGATCCACTTGGAGAATTGGACGTCTCGCTGCACTTTTTTCACTCGTCCCCTGACTGCAGCCGCCTAACGTTACTCTCACCTACATTCAGGTGAGGCGAGGGGCATCTCAAACGAGCCCATCGTCTACACTGGACGCGGCACGGCGCGACAAATCCCCGACAGTTAACGGATTCCCTGTTCTATTTCTGACGCAATTCAAGCTCTTTACATTTGCGACTGAAAACTACTGCGTGCGACTAAGAAAAAATATTTAGGAGCAGCAGTGCAACTGACCATATCTTTATCATATTTGTGATTGTGATCGCTGCGGGGAGCTTTAAAGGTTTCTACGTGTTTTTGCAGCGTTGAGTAATGTATCACAGACATATCTCATGAATCCTTTCATAAGCAAAGTGTAGACGGTGTAAATAAAAAATTAATTGTGCAGTGTAGAGAGCTTCGTTGATTATAAATGTGAGATCGTGATGAGCTAAGATGAGTGACAGCTTTTAAAAATCACTTTAAGGAGTCAAATATCACCTCGTAATGGGAAGGCTAATTTTTGATAAAATTTTGGATTATTGATTAGAAGGTGCTCCTAAATTTTTGACTGTGCTCCTAAATTTTTTAAGTTAGGAGCACAAATGCTCCTAAAAAGAAAAATAAGCGTAGAGCCCTGACGGTTCAGTTTCTCATACTGACGCAAATTTTAAACTAGTCGACATACAAAGAAAAAGATTACACACATTTCGAACACACAAACTATAATATACATGACATTTTCAGATGCGACTAAAGCTAGTGTTAACGTTAGCTAACTTGAGCATTAGCACAAACGTAACTTTTAAAACAATGTTGTTTGATATGACAAATACATAAAACCTGAGTGAAAATGTGCACATTCAAATACTGAATGGCTGCTCTAAACTGAATTTTATTTTCAAGTTTTAATTACCTCAGTGTAGAGCTCAGATCCCATCCACAGCGAGAGACAAAATGGCGATGGGCGCGAATCGGTTTCCTTCGCAAAGGGGTGGGGTTTCTGAAGAAAACATAACTACTTCATTTAGCTTCAACATGATTAATTCTATATGATTGAACATCCTTACAGAATAAATACATGGTACATGATTAAAATATATTTAGATGAGAAGCATAAATTGATCATGTAAGAAATGCGAAATGCATATGTGACCCTGGACCACAAAACCAGTCTTAAGTCGCTGAAATTCAACAACCTCCTCATTGCCATTTTTTTCAGTGTAGTGTCACCATGGCAGCAGGCAAGGCAAGCTGAAAACACGCCCATGAGCATGTAATGAGGCAACTCGGCACCATCTTCACTTTTGCATATGCACATGTGTGTGTGTGTGTGGCTTTTGCATTACACATTTGAGACTCTCTAGCGCACTATCTGGAAGCCTCTAGAAGGGCCACCAATAAGCTTACTCACATGTGACTTACGACTGGCATTAAATCAGTGTAAATACCACACACGTTTAACCCTGTTACCCGGCACTAATGCAGCTGGGGTGAGGAGGGGCCTTCACAGATCTGTGAAAAGCGCTTCACATCTGTGATTTCATTGGAGCGTTTCATGCCAAATGTCCGTTAATATCGCCATTAGTGGCGTAGCATGATCCGTGAGTGCACACAACCTGCGCCACCAATGCCCATCATAAAAACACAAGATACTCTGTATTGTTGCAAATGATTATTAGTGACATCACTTTGTTTTTTTTTTGTTTTTTTACAATTCTTAAGCATTATACTTATACTGTGAAGTTGTCTCACAGAATGTATGCTATAAACCAAAAAATACCTTGTTGTACTGATTTTTGTGGATGTGTGTTGTTTTTTTAATGTCTTGCAATTCAATACAATACAATTGACATTACTTTTTCATTGCTGTTAATGCAAACAGTATTTTTTCTTTTTCTTTAGTTTTTGTTATTGTTCTCCCACACACTTACAGAGTTAAAAATAACCTAAAATTCTAAATAAACATAAATTGAACATTGAAAGTTATATATTTTTTTCATTATGTAAAATTTCCATTTTGCTTAAAAATATGGAGGAGCTATGATAAAATATGTTTGTTTTAATCAGGTTATTTGATTTAGCTTTTTCTGATAAAATAAATAATAAAAAATACGTTGAAATAAATTATAATAAAATCAAGGAGGTGGACTTTTTTAGACAATTCTAGTTAATGTAGAACTATTAAAAAAACCTGGCAGCTACAAAACACCTTAAAATTGTGATACCATGTTTTGCACCTTTCAGAAAATGTTCAAATCTAATTGAAATTGATTTATGCTGATCTTGACATGTTAAAATCTAGTAGATTTTTCTGTAATTTGCTTTAAGTGACATTTCTTTGGCTAACCCAAACCTTCTCTTGTTCTCACAGGTGATCTCTGCGCTGTCCAGAATCTCCCACAACAGCATTGCACAGATCAAAGGCATCAGGTAACTGCCTTCCTCTACACTTGCTGATTGTGTTTCCTTTCAGTCGTGGTGTGTCTTGAGTCTTGAGGGATCTTTCACAGCACTCTCCCGGGCTGCACCTTTTATGTGGCTCCATTCAGAGGGCCTGGAAGGGAGAAGAAGTTGGCACAGACTACCGCATATGTGTGAAAGCTGTGAGCCTAAACCCGTGAAGTGTGTGGTTGTCGCTCCCCTCAGGTGTTTTAGCGAGGAGGGAACCTGCCTCCCTGCTTTACAGGCGACTGGGATCACTTCCTGTCTCATTATTTATGCAGTCCATTCGCCCCGCTCTGCAAATAAAACCTTTTATCCAACGGGGTAATGAGCTGATGGAGCGAGCCATTAGGCGTTTTGCCAGAGCGGGGTGAGGCAAGACAGGTCTGCCATTAGTCGGTGCAGCGTAACCGACCGAGGGGTGCCTAAATCACTTCCTGTCCTCACCGGGCACACTGCCGCAGAGAGATGGCCAAAATACTGCCTGTTGATTTGTCAAAGTCAGGACTCAGTCATTGGAAGTGGAAGAATAAAATGATTCTCCATTGTAAATGTTGTCTGAAGTAATTAGAGGGAAGATCTGAAGATGGATCCTGGCGGCAGACACATCTGCTGACCTGCCCTGAGCAAGTCTTCTGTACAAGCCATTTTAAGTGCACTGGTTTTTGTGAGTTCGCATAATTTCTTGACTGTATACAGGAAGCAATGAAAGTCGGCTTTGTTTTCATAGACGCCGTGGAGTGTGTCTCAGCTTTGATGGGGGGAAACAGCATGCCTCTTTAGTGGTTAGGCCGCCGTAACCCATATTTCTTTAAAAAGTCTTTTATTTCAGTCTATTGTTGGTGGTGTGTTTTACAGTTTTGTGGCGTAGAATGAAGGATGCATAAAAAATGCTGTCTGTTTTATTTCCTCACAAAGCAAGAAATGTCTCAGTCTTGTTTGGGAACATTCCTCGCACACCCTTTTGGATTTGGTTTAAAGCTGCACGCGGATGTTTTTCTAGACAGAGCTTAAAATTCAGCCACATTCCGGCACGCAAAATGCTAATCAATATTCATAAGACTGGATTTCAGAGTTACAGTTTGGCTGCATTGTTTTATTAATGAAAGATCCTAGGGAGAGATGCCTCTGTAGGATCTTTTTGCCTTTTGACCTCTCGGCTAGATTGGTTAATGGGTATTCTCAATGTCTGTTAATTAATTAGCCATCAAAAGAGACAGAGTGCCATTTCACAGAAGGGAACTGTGACATTACACAAACAAAAAAAATCTTGTTACTATTGCTGTTTTTTTCAGCTGTGACCACGTGCTTTTCCTCTGAGCTCTGAGTTCTAGCCAGTGATCGGAACACAAATATATTACTCTGTATTTATTGTTTTAAGTCACGCACACCATTAGATGTAAACCGCTACTTTTACATATGGAGGTCCTGCTTCTATAATAAGGTCTTTTACTGAGTAGCAGGAACAAGGAAGGGCAAAGTGTAAGTCATTCATCATGTTTTCGCTCTGTAGTGCAGCACCTGTTGACGTGATCTCTGGTTTCTCCTTTCTCAGCATGGTGTGTATCTAAACCACTGCTCTGTCAGATTCTGCTTAGATTGTATGGTTTGTTACATGTAAGTGAGTGTAGTTATGTTTCTCACAGTCTATGAGTTCAAATAACCCTCCTTTTACTGTATTTTGGGGCAGAAATGCTGTTTCTACATAAAACATCAATGTTTACCTTTAATTCATACTGTAGTGCTTTGTTCAGCACCAGGAACACAGTAGCTCTATGTCTGTTGACTCCCCAGCTTTCTCTAACTGAAATTAAACTTCATAAGTGACTTATTTGGAACAGTCTGCATAGACCGGAACTCTGTGCATCATGCAAATAACACACAAGAGACTTGACTCTTTTCACAAGAGACTTGGATGCTTCAGTAAACATAAATAAATATATGTAGTAAGTACTTGTTTAAATTCTGCCTGCAGAATCAGCTTTCTAAGTTTTGGACCAGAGCTATTGTGTCCTCACTGCATAGGTCAGATTGTGGGTTGTATGTGTGTATTGTTTTGAATTAATGAGAGTTTGGCCTACAGTATGTGTGAGATGTGAAACAGATGCCTATAGCTGACTCAACAGAGCAAATGTCATGATGCTCTTTTTTCCTGCTGTGTTATTTTTTGACATTTCAGTTATTTTTATTTTTAGTGGATTTTATTTGCATGGAAAAAGTTTTTGAAAGCATTTTTGATTGTAGTGTTAATTTCGTTAACGAAGACTATGACGAAAAATGTTAATTGACGAGCTTTTTTCTCATGACTAAGACGAGATGACAATAAGGTCAATAAACGATAACTAAGACTATATCAACATGCAATTCCGTTGACGAAATAAGATGAGACTAAAATGTATTCAAAATGATAAAAACTTTACCAAAAACCTCTTTTTATTTTTGTCAAAAAAGGAGACAAAATGTTATTGCAGTCTGCTCTACGCGCCTCTACTACGCGAGCTTTCATGAGTGCGGTTGCCAGATATCAAGAGTTCTAATCCCCGAATCAGAGCTTCGCTGTTAAATTCATACATTTTCTGCCCGGTGTGTTTTGCTTATTTTAAGCAATCTGGCAACCATGCGCACGAACAAGCTGGAGTTTAGCGATCTAAATGAAAGCGTCATTCAGCCGGTCAGTGTTCTGTCATGAGATCTCACTATATTGTTTGCGATTGTGATCGCTGAATAAATGCACTTACTCAACCGCTGTTGTTTTAATAGAGAAATAGGCTATTG